CCTCACGGGTACCTCAATTGCAAGGCATTGTGATATAATATATATATATATATGATCTTAAACGCATATATATATATATATATTATGGTGTTGTCTCGACCCACGTGCATTGCACATCCTAGTGCCGGATGTCATGCGGTACCTCACCTATAGCCAATCTTTTCACCGCCAGGATCAACGAGGGCAGCTGCTACATCAGGCGTCCGTGTGCGGAATTGCTTGGCTATTGGGGAATTGGACACGGTGAACCCTTGTCTGAAAAGACATGGTTCTGGGCTATATGTGTGCGGGACACTGCCCCAACCAATGGGTCGGTTTTCGATGGTTTTGGGAGGTATCCTATTTTAATGCACACCCAGGGCCCGGCCTAGATCCAATCAATGACATGTTCGCTCTTTCCTTTTTCAAATTAAGGTGCCATGGACGGGCAGGTTCTGGCAGCTCGGAAACCGGGCTTTGGTGAATGGGCTGAAGAAGCAGAAGCCATTGATGTGAATGACATGGGTGAGACATGTTGAGACAGGGCAAAGAAAGAATCAGGTGCTGATCTTTGACATCATCTCAGGCAAAGAGAACCCTCTTGGGGCCCGCAGACTCCAAAGACTTTGGAGCACCGTCTAGCCTGGAACCCCATCGCTGGGCGTCACGTGTGAAGATGCTTCCAACACCTCACTCCCCGGCATCCCCAGCCCCGTGCGGCGGCGGCCGCGGCCGCCGTTCTCAGCAAAAGACTGCATCCCCTCGCGAAACCTGTGAATATATGATGTTTGTTTGTCCAATTATATATACCTCAATCTTCGATTTGCGGCATTTTTCAATATAAACAAGTAGTCAGCGTCCTTCGGCGTAAACTGCACAAAAAAACTGATACTTGTGGCATGTTCATTTCGAGCTTCTGAATGAGCAGTGTTTCTACCTTGTCAGGATCAAGGCTGGGTTGTTGGGACCTTGGAAAGTCAGATTGAAAAGACACATTGGAAAGTCAGTTGAGCACCCCACAACCTGATAAGCTTGTTCTTTGTGAGTTTTCTTGCATAAAACATCGTCCTTTTGCTTCCTCAAGAACAGGGTTAAGTTTTGAGCATTTATATAAATATGTACAACCGTGCACGCACAAAAAACATACTTCACTTCGAGTGATCCCCACCATGACATTTCAATCTGACAAAATGTTCGGTGTGTATTGAAACATCTTTTTGGCATTCTTTCGGCCATTCTTTCTGGTATATATATATCCTAACGTTCTTTCTGGCATATCTTCTGACATTCATTCTGGCATATCTTCTGACAGTCTATCTGGCATAACTTTTGTTGCATATCTTCAGACATTCTTTCTGACGTTCTTTCTGGCGTTCTATCTGGCATATAGCGATTCAGAACTGGCGGCTCAAGTCCGGCGGAGAACACTGCCGTCCGGAGCTGGCGGTTGAGGCCGTCCGGTTGAGGTCCGGCAGGCAACGCTGCCATTCGACACTCGCGGTTGAGGAGGAAGAGGACTCACCTGACGGGTGGGGAACAAATGATCCAGGCCGAGCTTCTTCGTGCAACATCACAGGACCTTAAGCCGCAAACTAGCAAATCAGACGGGCACTTTGCGGCTTAACTTCGGCGTTATTTTGCACTTCCTGTAAGCAGAATTTAGCAGGCATGGAAATCACTGTTGCAGTATCATATAGTAACTATATACTTCAACATGAGTCGAGTGTGTTCCCACGAGGTGCACAAGTCAGTCGCATTTTGATGGAATGTGATGAGGGCATCATTATGGAGCTTTTGCTAGCAACCGGCTTATAAAATATGACTTTTTAGTCGGTTCCTGATACACTTCTGAGCTGTTGTGGTGCGTGGGAGAGTGTGGGACTTTTTGGTCCACCAGGTGGGTCCAGGTACATATCAATAATGTCATGTGATTGCCGTTAGCAACATGCATACAGTTTGCCAACTTATGCATGTTCCATGATGCAGCGTTGTTACTTTGTTAAGATGCACATTGTGCCTTCTCAGGACCATTTAGTCCAACTGTTGAGTTGTGTTCAGAACACTGTGGAACAAACAGGAAACCGTGTGTTTGCTTTCGGCTGTGCAAGCCTCATGGCGCCTCGTGGGTGCACCAAAAACACTCGAAAATTATTGTGTTTTCGGGTTTGGCTGGTGTTTTACACTGTTCATTTCTAAAAACATTTACCCAAGGGCCTTTTGCCAAGCTTCCCACCGAATTAGACTGAGACTCAGCCGTCCCGTGCCTTCTTTCACCGTGCAGGTCTCGATGGCTTTGGCACAGACCAAGAGCTCATTGCACACCAGTCGCGCTCAGGCGATTCGCGCGATGTCCTGAGCGAAAAGCCTCACGTAGCAAACGATGCAAAACGCGTGTCATAGTATGGCCAAGTGGAGGCAAAAACTGTAGTTATAAAATGTTATAACAATTGGGGTGAATTAGATGAACTTCTGAGGTGTTGTTGTATCACATGGTTGGATGGCTGGCCCTGTCTTGTACAGATGTTGTTGGGAGACAGGCACCATTTAGCTGCAACTGGACAAGCTACGAATCACCTGAGAAGGTTCCTGTCTAGACAAGCCTAAACAGGTCGACACAATTGTCAAAACATGATCAGTTTTAATTCATGTAGGTCACACTAGCGTCGCCAGCGCGGCTTGTGATTCTGGGATCGCGACCGATGAAACTGGGAGGGTTCTCAGTGGGTGTTGTGCGCCGTTCTCAGACCACCTGCAGGTCCGAAACTCTGTTGACCATTTGGAGAGCACGTGTGGAAGCCCGGGTGTTGATTGGGACTGAATAGTCAGCTTCTTCCCCAACATGGTGTGCTCGGTTTGGAGTCTCTTGTCCAACTACTGATCGTTTTTTTGCAAAATGACTCGGGGCATCCTCGAGCTTTGGTGGGCGCAAGTGGACGGAGACAAGCTGGATCGCCTGAACATTGAACAGGTTTAGCTCGCACAAAAATGCTTTCGGATTCAGAAGTGCAGTGCATTGCTCCTGTAGAGTAGAGCAACTTGGTTAATGGGCATTGAGGGACCAATGGTGCATCACGAAAAAAGAACTGTGACAAACATACACAAACCGTGGGGCGTAATTAGCAGCAAAGTCTTTTACTTTCAACACTTATATATACGGTCAAAGGCCAAAACACGAAGATGCGGCCGCGGCCCACATGGTACACATGGGGACACCATCAACTAGACTCTTCCACCCTGGCTCCTACACAACATGGTCCTCCAACTATATATTAAAATAAGAACATGTGTATATATATATACTGTATATATGTATACGTAGGCCATCAACCACCTAAAATACCTCCAACAGCAAAGACGTGAGATTGTTAATTTTAGGTATCTATAGAAACGCGTTCTAAGCCTTTTTGATGAGTTCTTTTTTGATATTGGGACTTTGCAACGGGGCTTAGCCACTCACGAGCTTGGAATTCATGAAACACTGATTCACCCTAATCGTCCATACACTCATACGCCAATATGGCGGAGAGTTGAAAGAACTGAAATGAGCATGAACGCCAAGAGACAGCAGAAAGCTTTTCTGCGGGACAAACATAGAGACATGGACCACTTTGGGTTTGGGGTGTCGTTCCTTTTTTTGCCCTATCCATGTTTTCCCTCAGGTATATAGTTGTCAATACAAGCAGGGGTTACTGTAACATACTGTAACTCTTATTTGGTAATTAATCATTATGTTATGCACGTACGTATACTATTTCGCACTAGCCAGACGTGTCATTGCATACTTCCAGACAGAATGTTCATGGAGATGCATGGAATATCTGGAGAGTCTCACGCCATCGGAGAGGTCGGCATGAAACAAAAGTCCGAGTCATCATGACTCAATCACAACAAATCATACCAATCGTTTGTCACCTCCGTAGAAAACATGCTGCCAATACAGGAAAAGAACAGAGGTTTTCCTTGGTCAACGGTCGGAGCTTGTGCAGCACATGGCCCGAGTTTCCGGAAAAAACAACAACAACAACAACACCTGATTCCCAGTGCACATCAACCGGTTGGTTTGAAAAGATGTGTTGTTCCATGAGCATATATGATCATATATGTGCCAGATGACAAAAGTCACGACGCGAGAAGTACTCCTTGGCAGTCAAGGCCCCTGTCCTTTGATCGTCATACCATGTTGAAGTCTAGGACGCTACTAGGGGCTCCTGGCCTTACTACTAGGAGCGATCGAACGCTATTCACGGAGCAAGGAAGCTACTCTCCGGCTGCCAGGAACCAAAATCTACACGATCAAGTGGCTCTCCTGGAGCGGGGGAATGGTGGAGCCCAACGCGAGAACGGTCGTCTCGTGAACGGAGAAAGAACCAAAGCCACGAGCAGTTGGCAATGAACATGATTGAAACTTCCTTTCAGGATTTCTGGTGGAACTTTGCTTCGGAGAAGGCGGTGTTCAAGGAATGCTTACAAGGTGTCACTGCCCGCAAGTTTGCTCCGAAGATCAAACCTGTGTTCCATTGTTGTGTTCAAACCTGTGATCGAACTTCAGGGTTGCAGGTGTTCGGTTAAATGTCATGAAAGGTAGACTGTTCATTCAGGATGATTAATCTGGATGATTCATGTTGACTCTTCATTGATAAAACTCCCTGCCGGCCCCTGCACTAAAAAGTAGAGCGCAGCTTCGCCCCAGACCGGCCGTGCCTGGATTTGGCTGGAGTCACCCAGTGGATCCCCGGATGGTGCATAGTCCAAAAAATGGCATATAAGTTATAAGACAAATACGACAAATAATAAGAGTATGAAAGAGTTGAAGTGTCTAGTCCAAACATGTTGTCAAGTCTGATTAATCAGTTTCTTGAATCATGTGGACCCAAACGATCTCCAGTGTGGCCACATTGTTTTGGTTGGGTGACTTAACATTTCAAGGGTTCTTATTTGGCGAGTCGCCGAGGTAAGTAAACGTTCAGAGCTTGAGCTTGACCAGCAAAAGCTGTATCCACCAGGTTGCTGATTCTGGAGCCATGGAGGGATTCCACATGTTGACGGCTTTCGCGATGGTTTGGGCACCGGCACACTTGTGCCTCACAAAAACGGACTGGGCTGACATGAAATCGTGGAGCCTGGGCGTCGAAGTTTCAGCCTCCTCGTTTTTTTGTCACTGACAGCGGAAGCGATCGGGAATCGATGGCCATCCGATATCATGCCAATTGTTTCTTGTTTTACTTTTTTCTGGGCCGGGATAATAGTGGGCATGTAACAAGAACGATTGTCGAGGATATAAGTCGTGAGTTTGAGAGGTTGTTTGTGGATCGTTCATGTTCAATAACCACCGAGAACCTGAGTGACCCCTATTTTGGAACCAAAACATTGTCTTTTCCCTATCAAAGCAAAGGTCAAATGGGTTCTAGGCATGTATAATTTCATGTACCCACTGAGAAGAGTTTGTGCCAGATGTGCCCCTTAGTTTCCCTTGTTTCCTTATTCAACGATCCGTTGTGTTGATCCAGGTCTTGTCATCACATCAACTTGATGCCTTGCAGGAAGCTGTAGCTTCGGACCCGGAAATCTCACTGGAATGGCGAAGGTTTCAAGATCCCACCGGGGAGTACCCCGGGTATTCGCAGTCAATGAAGCCCCCCAAGGAACCCTAGCACTAAATGGTGGGACTTCCACCTCAGGACTGGTTCAATCCTGCGAGAGCTCATCGGCACGAAGCCATGTGGCAATGGTTCAGCCGCAGATGAACGTGTGGAGGAAGCGAAGCATGGCCAAGCATGGTAGCAAGCCTCCAGCCAAAGGGATGACCGGATGACCTGCATTATAGATGTTGTTTTTTTCAGTCTTTTGTTCTTCGTTTGCTTGGACGGACTGGGACATATGGAGTTGTATGGATTGTTCATCAGTGATCGGTGATGATCGGTGATGCTTGCAGTCACGGAGGTCAACAATCTGAGACTTTCCGATGTTAAGTTGTTGATGGGTTGTCAAAGCCATCAGATGATGATGATGACGACGATGTTTTTGCTCCATGTTTGCACAAATGTTTGAATCCTGTTTTGTTTCTCTCACTTCGATCCACACTTTCCTTCAGTTCGTCGTGCTGACGTGAAACACCTGCCACCGTGAGTCGGATGGCTTCGTTTTGTTCGAAGAACTCACTCGGGCGGGGCCTCGGGAGGGGCCTCGGTTCTCGTTGGGTCAGCCCGTTTGGGTCTTGTTGGGTGATCAGACCCGCTTGGTCCGCTTGGTGGTTCTTTGTGAGGTTCTCTCTATTGCAGCTTCCAACCAGGGTCCCTACAGATGATTGCAGTTGCGGCTTCAGAGGCCAACCTTTGGTGAGTTAGATAGTGGGATCCATACATATTCCAAAGAGGTGATGTGCACAAAAGGAATAGCCCTTCTTGCTGTCAAGGATGGAGAAGCTGCGCCAGAGGAACTACCAGTCCTTCAGCCGCTGTCTCTCTCACCTTGATTTTGTGAGTCTTGGAGCTGATTAGCTAACTCCACCGTTCTTTCTAGAAGTATGATCAAGATTGATGATGTATGTGTTTTCAGCTGTTCGATTCATGTGTGATTGGATCCAGAATGCTGTTAAGCATGGATTTGTAATTCTTAACAATATAATGAATCAGATAAGATGAAATGAGCTGAATAAATAAACCCGGTAATATGTATTAAGTAAGGAAGGTTCCCAGAGGTTCCTAAATAGCTTGGCCACCGCTTGGAATTCTGTTACTTAATTCGGAGATGCTACCTTGTCGCGCAGCAAAACGCAGGGTTGGGCCAGGTTTGGCGTTAGGTTCAAGTACTTAGGTAAGACTAACTAACTAACTAACTAACGAACGAACGAACTAACTAACTAACTAACCAACTAACTAACTAACTAACAACAACAAGGTACAAACAAAAACTGCAGCCACGTTACAAGATATCTTGTTCCTTTGTCTCTACAAGGGGGTGGAAACAAAATTTGCAACCCCGTCGTTGTTGTTTTGACCCCCCCCCCGAAAACAACCAGCCAACATGTACTTTTACCAGTAGTGGTAGTGCTTGTACTAGTGCTTGTACCAGTGCTAGTACTAGTGGTACTAGTACTAGTACTAGTACTAGTACTACTACTACTACTACTACTACTACTACTACTACTACTACTACTA